GATTGACTCATAGTTATCCAATAGGCAGCATTAGCATTTGTGTAAAATATCTTCTTATACATTGAAATGCAAAGGAATTTTTGTAACAATACCATTTTATGCTATCTAATGCTTATGATAAAAGTACTGTCATCATTTAAAACTCAGGCAGGGGAATAGCTTTTTTAAAAAAAAGACCTAATTTTTATTGGGAACTTAAATATAGACAAGGAAAGACAGAGAGGAAGATCTTCCATCCCGTGATTCACTCCCCAAGCTGCTGCAACGGTGAGAGCTGAACTGATTTCAAGCCAGAAGCTTTTCTGGGTCTCCCATGCAGGTGCAGGATCCCAAGGTTTTGGGCCGTCTCGACTGCTTTTCCAGGCCACAAGCAGAGAGCTGGATGGGAAACAGGGCTGCCGGCATTAGAACCGGCACCCATATGGGATCCCAGTGTGTTCAAGGCGAAGACTTTAGCTTCTAGGCCACCGTGCTGGGTTCAGGAATCCCAATCTCTACAAAATTGTACCACATAATTCAAAAATTCAAAAGAAAAGAAAAAGCACACCATTCTCTAGAAGCATCGACTTTTCATATCTGAAAAGGCGCACGGGCTTGTGTTGTGGCTTGGTGGCTGAAGGCACAGAAGGTCACAGTGACATCCCGTATGCTTGCTGGTTTAAGCTCAGGCTGCTCTACTTTCCATCCTACTGGCTGCTAATGCACCTGGGCAGGTGGCAGAAGGTATCTCAGGTCTTCAGGCCCCTGCACGTACCTGGGAGACCAGGTAAGGCTCCTGGCAGCTGGCTTTGATGTGCCCAGTCCTGGCCATTGCAGCCATTTGGGGAATGAACAGCAGGTAAGACACCTCTCTGTCTCTTCCTTTCTCTTTAACTCTGCCTTTCAAATAAATAAATAAATCATGAGAGAAAAAGAAAACAGAAAAGGAAGAGCCCACAAACACAAGGGTGTTCATTACTTAAGGAGCAGAAATAAGCACCAGCATGGTCAGTCTGACCACCCAGGTTATGTTCTAGGTGCACAAGGTCAAGTGTTCTGCTTGGTCACTGCTTTTCCTTCTATAAATGACGACTGATATGGTCTTGCTAGCAATACACTGAGAACCTCACAAAGTTCATGGAAAATTCACTTTATCTCTTTTTTTTTTTTTGCATTAAATTTTTGAACCTACATTAACACATAGCTCTTACCTGTGCCTGAAGTTGTTTATATCTACAATTACTTGTCTGTGCATTATCTTTCCCAAATTAAAAGTCCATTATGATATGAGCTGGATTTAAGGTATCCCAAATTTTTATATATTCTGTCTGCCTCAGCACCTAATTAGGAATTTCAAATAAATGTGTTTTCCTTTCCTCCCTGCTCACATTTTCGGTGGGATTATAGATCAGGAAACGTGGCGTATGTCAATGTCTGCGTCGGCTTTTCAGCCTTGCCATGCAGAAGGACAGCCGGCTGGGCAGCTGAAGCTGGAATCCACAGTTGCCATGCACTGCCTCCAGTTAATCTGCATTCTTTTGTCTTTTCCCCTATTCCAGCAAATTGATGGAGAAGCGTTTCTGCTTATGACCCAGACGGACATTGTTAAAATCATGAGTATTAAACTGGGCCCTGCTCTCAAAATTTTCAATTCCATCCTGATGTTCAAAGCAGCAGAGAAGAATTCTCACAACGAACTTTGAAGCTGGTGAGTTCTGAGGACCATCAGCTTCCTGCTTTAGAGCTCATGTTTCATTCAAAGCACAAGGACGGTTCTAACTCCGAAGTGAGAAGTCTCCACAACTCAGAAGAGCAACACTATGGGATTATTTATATTCCTCAAGAGACAATGTATATGAATTCTTATGAAAGTGCTTGAGCTTTCAACCTGGTACTGTGGAACAACAGTCATCTTTTAGTTCTGTTCACTGAGCTAAATTTATCTTTGTAAATCTTTTTGAGGCCAGGGCGGGTGGGGAACAAGGGGGACTTCATTAATTATTTATGGATTAAGGGGAGGGAGGACAGAATAGAAATTTTGGCATTTTGTAAACATTGTTGAATTCTCTTTCATGGACAATGTTTCCTTTTCAGTACTTTCGGAAGCCTTTTTATATAATCAAATATCAACTTTAATCGAATTGGCCAAAACCTGGCTACCATTAGCCACCGGGACTGTTATCTGTATCGTTGCTTTCGTGCCATATTTTGAATTGCAGCATTATGCTGAGAGTACCTTTTCAAGTCATGATATTGCTTATCCGCTTGTCATAATATTTGTTGGGGCTGAATAGTTGTAAAAAATACAATCAGTGGTTTTACTTTTGCACGCGTTACAAAATGTTAAAGTACTTCTCACCAGCATCTTTACTATAACTACCAAAAACATGTATATAAAAGAATGAAATTAAAAATGAAATATATAAGCATAATCAGCTAGGTAGCGTATTGGAGTGGCATCAGTCACCGATGGTATTGGAGGAGTGTGCGGTTGCATTGGGGAAGCCGTATAGAGGGGTCTTGGACTATGTATGTCATTTGTATTGGGTTTTTCTCTGTTATTGAAGTAACTGTGGTGTTTTACGGAGATGAAAGCCTCATTCGGTCACAGAAACACTAACTAGAAAGGACCACTGCTCTGAACTTGTTGCATCCTCCAAGGCCAAAGGTTTTCTTCAGGGTTGGCTGAAGAGAGTCTATACAGGTGTTACTGAAGAAGCAAAGGGGCAGCACCGTGAACACGAGATGCTCAAGGCCTGCAGAGTGGGAAAGTGATTTCCTGAAGTCGTTATTCAGGAACCTCCTTTCTGGAAGGCTTCCTTTTTCTGTAGCACCTCAGTATGTGTGAGCATACAAATGCACTTTAAATGAAACCCTTGATTGTCTATCAACCGATAGCTGGTAGTGTTTCTTTTGCAAGGATACATTTCTAAAGCAAAAGGTAAATTATTTTGAAATTCTTTGGATGTACTTTCTAATTCCAGGATTAGATGCTTATCAAGGACTATTTTAAAAATAGTGAAGTAAGTTTGTAGCATGCTGTCTGAATTCTGGGGAAGTTCCACCTCTTTCCTTATTTAGCTCCCAGTTTTCCTGGTGTTGGACTTCCCTGGCTGTCCGCAGTTGGAAATCTGTTAGTAGCTATTTGCATTTGTCATGATTCAAGGTTGTAAAACAGGGTCGGTGACATCTGCAGTGTCCCATTCATTTCTTTGCATGAATCTACTCAAGTTTTCATTGTTGTTTTTTCTTCTTTTTTATATTCTGTTCAGAATTTGTACATTCAAGTTGCACATGTTATATCTAATATGAATGAAATAAAGTCTTAATTGCAGATGCTTTTTCTTTTTTACATATGTGTGATTTCTCAGAGACCTTGCCAAATAGGGGAGAAAGAACAAAAGCAAGAACATCACACATATGGGCTTTAACGAGCTGTGAACTGTAGGATTCCAGATTGTCCGACTGTGTCCCGACGTGATGCAAGCTGATGGGAGACTGAAAATTATATTCTTGGATTAAGTAAGATTTATCCCCATTGAGAATTTGTCCTTTGTAATATAAAGCAAAGAGTGTAACAAGAAGAATTCTTAAATCTTAGTGGAAGCATCCGCTCATTGTAAGCAACACATTATTTGTTAGAGGTAAGGCATTAAGCTTCCTTAGGCAGGTACAAGATTTCACAAGAAAGGAAAGATTTGTCCCAGCTCTAGCAGGGGTAAAACAGAAGCAAGAGGGAGCTGTGGTGCAAAAGAGACCCTTGAAATGAGAGAGCAAAAACAGAGGGTAGAAAATGTGGACCCTCGGACTATAGGGAGGTCCCCATAGGCTAGCTTTCTTTTTAGGGGAAGAATTGGGGCAGAAAATGAGATAAGCTCACACTCTCTGGGGTTCCCTCTAAATGCCCAGGAGCCAAAACCCCAATCTAAGTCTCCTACACATTTGGCCAGAACATAGTTTGCTCAAGCCATCACTGCTGCCTCACAGCATCTGCATTAACAGTAAGCGGGAGTGAGGATCAGCACCGGGCCAGATGTCTAACAAGAGCACTAGGATATCTCAACACTAAACACCTGCAAGGCTTCACTATTCCCTTAGGAAATGTGTTCTGTGAGTGGGTTCAGCCCTAGAGAAAATATAGTTGAGCCAATGTGCAATGTTTAGTAAGTGGCAGGTCTGTACATGTGCTGAGAATAGAGAAACCATTAAAAGACAAGATGTGCATGAATCTGTACTCAAAGTCAGCTCCTTGCTTGTTTGTCGCCAAACTTTGTTGCACTTTCCCTACAGTTCTGCCCCAGCCTAAGGGAGGCTTCCTTCAACTTCAGCCATGGATACTGTGTGCCTTCTAAGGAAAGAAATTTAAGAACCTCCCAAAGTCAGTTGGGAGAAAATATTAAGACAATGTAGAACTGATAAGGTAGGGGACAAATATGGTACATAAAGGGGAAGTTTTTAAGGACTAAGTACATTCTAAAGAAAGGAAATAAATGGAAATTTTGGGCTGGGGACTAGATTATTTTAAAATAGCATATTTTTAAAGGAAAGAAGCTAACAAATTGAACATTAATAAGCCTGGGATTTTCTCAAGATATAATCAGTTGGGGCCTGGCACAATGGTTCAATGGCTAAATCCTCACATTGCATGCACCAGGATCCCATCTGGGAACTGGTTTGTGTCCCAGCTACACCACTTACCCAACCCAGCTCCCTGTTTGTGGCCTGGGAAAGCAATAGAAGATGGTCCAGATCCTTGGGACGCTGTGCCCACGTGGGGGACATGGAAGAGAAAGTCTTTGCCCTTGGCTTTAAATTGGCTATTTGGAAAGTGAACCAATGGATGCAAGATCTTTCCTTTCCATCAGTATCTACCTTTTTAAAACAAACAAAAACTAAGACATCCTTGGAAGTAAAAGTTGGGTCACAGAATTACAAGAACTCAAATCACAAACAAGCACTCTTCAGGTAGTATTTTATTGCATAATTAATGAACAACTGAAACATCTATTGATAAAGAGTATTGAAACTTATTAGCATTTTTACAGGGTGATTTTCAGCTATCAACCTTTATTACAACAATAAATCAAAACAGCTTATTACAAAGTTTCAGCTGGCTCTGCAGGAAGTTCTGAGACAGTATGTAGCGCACTCTGAAGTGAATGTGGAAATCCTGCTTCCTTTCCTTTGTCTTTCAAGAAGGAAAATGGGGGCTGTGCAAAATCAGTGTCTCAACTATGTCTCTCTAGGAAGGTTAGGGTTTGGGACAGTCTTCCTGGATGCTTGATCCCATACATGTGAGGGGCAGCCACGAGAGCAGCTACGGCCATACACAATCATCAACCTTGGTGAGCCTCTTTGTCCAAATACAAAAAAAAAAAATTCACAGGCATTGATGCTGAAAGGGTTTTTCACACAGGTATGGACACTTGCACCTGAAAAGAAGAATGGAATCACTGCCCCATGATACATAAAATAGTTACATAATAAGACATCCCTAAACTTAACTATGATTTTACAATAAATGAACTAGTTGCAGTTTAGTATATTTGCAAAGGTGACAAAAACACAATTGAAAATAGACCACCTGTGCTCGCTTCGGCAGCACATGTACTAAAATTGGAACGATCCAGAGAAGATTAGCATGGCCCCTGCGCAAGGATGACATGCAAATTCGTGAAGCGTTCCATATTTTTTACTTTGTTAGCTTTGCCATCAGACCAGGGAAGGCCTCCCCAAGAAGCCGTTAAAGTTATCAGGACAATAAGCTGCTGCACTCAATGCTGGGTATGTGCTTGCAATGAAGGAATCTCAACTGAACTTGAACTGTGGTTATGCACCATGGGGGGAGGGTTGTGGGACAAGCAGGGGAAATCCAAGCACCTGTAAAACTGTATCATAATAACAATGTTATTAACAATAATAATAATAAAAAGAAAAGAAAATAGACCACCTTCCACTTATGAACAAATGAGGGTGTGAAGATGGACAATGTCAAGTGCTGGTATTAATATAGTACATACCTTGTCCTTCATAATGACAAAAAGGCTGGGATCGCCCCAAAAACATTTGGGAGGAGGAAACATGTAGCCGTCATCTTCATATCTGTTGAGGCAAAATAATGTTGAGAATCTAAATAAAGATACGTTTTGAGCAGGTGTAGGCAATAAGGCTGGTGTAAGAAAATCTGGAACAGCAAAATCACTGCCATCTACAGAAAACAAGCACGCCGTCTTCACTTGGTGTTTCACAACTTTGTTGCTCCAACATCCCTTTCTATTAAGCTGTTTGAAACCTCATGTTTGCCGTGCAGATCACTGCCAGGAGAAGTCTGTACTCTGCCCATTGCCAGGATGATGTTATCATGCTTTGCCATGTGTTTCATGTCATAAAATTGACAGGTTGCTAGCTTGCCAAAGATGCTTTGTAATGTCAAGTGTACTTTGTAAATCTTTGTCTCTGCTCCTTCCCTTACATCAGAAGGAATTTTTTTTTCTTCCACAGTAGTTGCTCCATTGAGTTGCACACTCCACCACAGGAGAGCTTCCCTAACTCCAGAATCCTACAGATAACAGATCGATTCAGGCCACCCCCCCAGGGTCCACTAACGTTTCAGTATGTCTTCATCTGTGTGCTGCTTTATTTTTTCTTGGAATGCAATATGAATTGGATTGTCCACCACTGAAAAAGAAGTCAGTATGTTTTCTGAATAGGATTCCAAAATGGGCCTTGATTTGTTGTAAATATCTGTTCCTGTAAGAAGCTAGACTTCTCTGAACATCTGATAAAAGAAAAATCAATGGATATATCAGATTACAAGGAAATACATTACAATGTAAGGAAGTAAATTACTCCATAATTATAATATTTGAATACTAGTTAAAAATAATATACTAACTATTTTTAGAAACTTGGAGGCAAAGTAAAGGACAGAAGATTGAAATGAACAGCAAAGATAAAGACAAAGTGGAAGAATTCCGAATCTATACATTGAAAACTTTGAACGCAGAACCAGCTGAATGGGGTGTCCAAATAAATATGACTATTAACTATGAGTCACCCAGCCAAGGTGCCAGGATGTTACATTTCTTTAGGTAAACTTCATGGGTATTTTTCTGCAATAGGACCAAAAAATCGCTAGATTTGGGAAAAGTAACCCTTAAAAAAATACTTGATCGCAGTATCCTGCCAGGCAAGCAGTAAGTTCAGATGGAAGCAAACAATGGAAAATGATGCAGCAAACAGTGGGACCAGCGCTGTGGCATAGCAAGTGAGGTCACCAGATGCCAGCATCCCACATGGGCACCAGTTTGTATTCTAGTTATTCCACATCCAACCCAGCTCCCTGCAAATGGCCTGGGAAAAGCAGCAGAAAATGGCCCAAGTGATTGGGCCCATGCCCCTCATGTAGGAGGAGCTGGATGAAGATGCTGGCTCCTAGTTTCAGCCTGGCACGCAGCACTGGCAGATGCAAACAGGTGAGAAGTTAAGTAGCAGATGGACGATCCCTTTGTGTTTGTCTCTCCCTCTCTGTGCCTCTGATTTAGCTAAATAAATAGGGGCTGGCATGGTGGTACATCAGGTCACTCTTCCACCTGTGCAGGCATCCCTTCTGGGCTGTGGTTAGTTCCCCTCCTGCTCCCTGCTTATGGCCTGGGAAAGCAGTCGGGAATGGTTCAAGTCCTTTGGCCCCTGCATCCACATGGAAGACCTAGAAAAGGCTCCTCTTTCCTGGCTTCTGATTGGCTCAGCCCTGGCCATTGAAGTTATTTGGGGAATGAAGCAACAGATGAATAATTCCAATCTCTCCTTTCTCGCACTCTCTTTCTTCCCTCTGTTGGAAATAATGTTAAGTTTATTTCATAGTAAAGCTGCAGAAATATAGAGCTCAAAAAACACCCTTTACTCAACTTTTCCAATCTCTTTTCATTATTACTAATTTGTTTGAGAGACAGAGCACTGCCATTATTGGTTCACTTCACATGTATCTGCAAGGGCCCTGGCTAGAGGCGGAGCCTTAGGATGAATCCAGGTCTCCCGCTTGGGTGGCAGGAATCCAATCACTTGAGCCATCATCACAGCTTCCCAGGGTGTGTTTAGCAGGAACTTGGAGAAAGTACCAGGTATCAAAACTTTAATACCAAGCCCAGCGCGATAGTATAGCGACCAAAGTCCTTGCCTTGAGCACGCCAGGATCCCGTAAGGGCACCAGTTCTAATCCAGGCAGCCCCATTAATAAACTGCATCTTTCGACCATCAGTCAGAGTGCACACGTCTTATTATCGGCTCCGTGCACCAAGTCCATGCTGCAGGGTAGCAACACCCTAGTTTTTCAACATGTATTTCCCAAGTATAAAGACACTCAAAATCAGGAAAATTGAAAATCCTCTCAGCTGCCAGGTCTTGAATCTAATCAAAGATCTCATGTGACAATGAGCCCCCAGCCCCAAACAGTTTCTAAATATCCTTAGCATTGTTGAAAAGCAGAGATCAATTACTTTTCAGAGTGTCCCTCAGTCTAGGTTTGCACTGTATTTCTTCATGATTTGTACTTTCTGGGCAACAATGCTGCCGTTTTTCACTGTATCAGGATACAAAAGATGACAATAAGTCCCAGTGTTGAAGATGATGGAGTGGGGATGTCATACCGGCACCACAGTGGGAAGACACAGAGCCTGAGCTCTCACTCCTGTATGCCCCATCACACAGGCCTGCAGGGACCTCAGCCTTACCATGAAAGACCCCAGCCAGTCCAGTGAAAACCCATTAAGACCCCAACTTCAGGATCAGGCAGGGCTTGTCAATCATCAGTCATACAGTCAGCCCGTAATCACAAAACTCCATGGTGCATTTCTGTTTCACATACAGTATTCTGCTAGGCACTTTGGGAACTACCGGATGTTTCAGACTTCTTCATATAATTAAGGAGCTTATAGTGTATCTATTTGACAGGGTTTTGCTCTAACACTATACTGTAGGGTTGTCCAATCATCATTGCTTTTCCAACAGCCAAAGGTTACCAGCTATTATTCCTGGAGACTGCAAAATGAAGATGAAACATAAACAAACAAAAAACCAGGATGGGCTGTTGAGAGGGTTAAATAAATTAATTCATGAATACCTCAGAGAATGAGCTTGCATTCAAATGTTTGCAAATGATACTGTTATTAAAAAGAACATGTAACAAATTTTTGTGTGTGTGTGGTGGGGGAATATGTAAAATGTTCATTTTCAGTTTGATCAATTGCACCTACAGAATTTTTCCATGAATTGTGCATACATGTAACAACTCTGATGAATCTATCATTCTATGCTGCAACTAAAATTACATTACAATTGTGAGAAGACATTTTGAATGTCCCCTTTAAGTAAAATAAATAAAAGGTTATTTGAGTTACACCTTAGGCTTCTATAAGGCATGGCAGGAAATGACTTGTGATCATAAAGAAAATATTTTGAGTGAAGTTACATTCTAACAATTTCTTAACGATCACGATTGTTGAAAAGTAAGCAAAGTAATTTGCACTCTCAAAATACCCCTCACCCCCGCCACAATATGTCCAGTAGCAGGCAAGTCTTTGATTATGAAGGCAATCAGTGACTGTCATCCAAAGTAACTCCCTGCAATCCACTGCCAATACCCGAGGGAGAATCTCACCCACTGCCTTACTGGACTAGCCCATGACCACTCAGAGAGAGGAAAAAAGCATCGAGACCCTGCAGCCGGAGAGTGTGGTGAACGAATGAAGACACCTGGTAAGGGCACTTCAGGAAAAGAAACATTTTCAGAACATCTCTCCGAGGTGTTCTGTTTCTGATCATCTTTCTTCTAAGTCCCAAAGTCTGGCTCATTCTCTTGTCAGTTTCTCTCCAGTTCTTTTCTGTTTTCATGTATTCTTGCTGGAGCCTTTTAACATGCTCATCCACCTCAGAATCTAGAATCTTCTGATCCGTAGTCAGATGCGTTATCCATTGCGCCATTGGCCCACCCATTACCTCAGAATCTAAAATCACACTTTCTTCCTGCAAAATATTTTCAAAATTAGTGTCCATGAATTTTATGTTTCGGTGGCAGCTGGAGACACCACGAAACGTGGAATCACAGGCTGTTATGGTGAATTCGGTAATGCACCAAAATGAGCATTATCCTATGTAGTTATACTTGAACTTGAATGTGGTTAATAAACAGTTGTTTTTGGAAACAAATGAGTTAATTACAACCAGAGTTACAATCTTTTCTCTGAAGAGATCAAGGAGAGTTACTATAGTTTCTACATCAGCTATTTATACGGAAACCCAGATAATTTGGGAGGTTCACGTTTAATACGATTGTTGGTCCTGTACTTTCATTTAAATTTTAGGGATGAAAGTGTTCAGAAGAGATAGAAGTTCATAAAGTAAGGGCCTGTTGCTGATCTTGTTTGTCTTTTCTCTTCATGGTGCTTTTTAATGGCTGTGCTACCCTGCCATCTAATGATGCAGATTCAAAAATAATTGCCACCCAGCTGTCACTGGAGTTCATGACACATCCGGGCACATTGTGTGTGATGGGGTAGTGAGCAAGTAATATCTTACATAGTCCTGTAGACAATCTAAAGTATTAACTTTAAGGAAACAAAAAAAACTGTTTTTAGAAACACTTGGCTAAACTGTACTTGAGTGAAAACTGATCTTCTGTCTAGTTGACCAATGTGTTAAACAGATATTCCCACAGAAAAATGAAAAGGATGAGCCTAAAATGCTCCTCTATTGGGATTTTTAAAAATGCATCAGAGGGCCCGTGCGGTGGCCTAGCAGCTAAAGCCCTCACCTTGCACCTGCATGGGAAACCTGGAGGAGGTTCCTGGCTCCTGGTTTCAGGTCGGCACAGCACCGGCCGTTGCTGTCACTTGGGGAATGAATCATTGGATGGAAGGTCTTCCTCTCTGTCTCTCCTCCTCTCTGTATATCTGACTTTCCAATAAAAATAAATAAATCTTAACAAAAAAAGAAAACTACATTAAAAAAAATGCATTGGGACCGTTTCAGATAGAACACAGGATTACAAACAAGACAGATTGGTCAAATAATCAGTAGAAAAATATAATTTACCAAAACAGATTAAAATCAAATTTCTATAATGTTAATTAAAAGATACAAGTCTTTCCACAAAGAAAATACAAAGACATGTGCTTTATGGACACATTTTATTTAACTTTCAAAACAGAGTGTTCCAAATTGATGTAAATTATTCTGGGGGATCCAACATTAAAAGAAATACTGTCCAACCTCTTCTGTGAGGCCTCCCGGACACCGTTCCCCGATCTCAGGGAGAATGCATGAGAGCAAGTACGGGTGACCCTCCCTCATGAACAAGTCTCAGACAGGAACAATGAGTTTACGTCATGTAAAACAATGGTTTCATATTAGTAAGGAAACTTGATTAAACTAAAGAAAACGTGGTTCATTTAGCAGTCACGTTTCTCATCCTATCATATTGAAAGGGCTAATCTGAGGGTCACTATTTTCGAGTGGTTTGGGCCATTTAAAAAACGTTTTGAGAAATGTGCTTATTGGCAGTTCTGAAAAGGCAGAACATGAACTGGGAGAGGATATTTAGAAGAGATATAATTGGCGAAGGAGTGGATTGCAGACTATATAAGACTCATAAATAAATAAGAAAATGGCAACTTTACAGGGGAAAAAAAAGCAAAGCATATGAACAGGCATTTTACAAAGAAACATGAACATTTCATGAACCTATGGCAAGGTCATGAATCTCACAGATAATCCAACTGAAAATTAGATGCTGTTCAAAATGAGAAAACATTTCAATTTATTTGTTATTTATTTGAAATGCAGAAAGAGATAGGACAAGGCCAAAACTAGCAGCTCTACCCCGATCTCCAACATAGGTGTAGGGACCCAAGGAGTAGAGCCGTCACTTGCTGCCTCCTGGGATGCCCTTCAGTTGGAAGCTGAAATCAGAAGCCGAGAGGTCAGTACTCAGACCAGATCCTCCTTGATGGAAAGCACGAGTCTGAAAAAGCAAATAAACCACCATGCCAAACGTCCACCCAAGATATCATTTTATTATTATGTTTTTATGGCAATGCCAAATACACAGAGAGGAGAAGAGACATAGAGACATCTTCCATCCGATGGTTCACTCCCTAAGGGACCGCAACGGCCAGTGCTGTGCCAATCCAAAGGCAAGAGTCAGGAGCTCTTCCGGGTCTCCCAGGCGGGTGGAGGGTCCCAAGGCTTTGGGCCGTCCTCAACTGGTTTCCCAGGCCACAAGCAGGGAGCAGGATGGGAAGTGGAGTTGCCGGTATTAGAACCAGCACCCATATTGTATCCCAGAGCATTCAAGGTGAGGACTTTAGCCTCATGCCAGCTAGGCCATCGCGCTGGGCCCAAGATATCATTTGATTTTCAATAACTGAGGAGACAAATGTGATAATAACAAGTGAAACTCAGGGGACCTAAGTAGCTGCCCTCATCTACAACAATAATTTGGCACTGTTACGAAGTCAAATGCTTCCACGAGCCAGCAATAGCACTCCTAAGTACAAATCTTTGGAAAAGGATTACACACACGCACCACGACACACAAACAGGAATGATTATAATCAGCAGCATGGATCAGGATAGCCAACACAAGAAACAAATCAAATGTCTGCTGACGGGATGCAAGCCAAATAAACTGGCTTGCTGTCACAGTGGGGGAAGGACGGTGCCACACAGTTCATCGCGACAGTCTAAATGATTCCCAGAGAGGTTACACTGAGTGAGAAAAAAGGAAGTTGTCAGAGAGAACAGATGCTTTGCCTATCAGTTTGCATACCTTGAGAGCAAGCAAAACTAAGCTACATGCCTTGGGAATTCATGCTTAGGTGACAAACTCATTTATTTAAAAAGCGGGTGAATTATGAATAAATAAATTCAAAGTCGTTTTTTTTTTTAATATAATCCAGCAAGTTTGCTTGTGGGGGTGGGGAGGAGTGAGGAAATGGGAGGAAATCAGATGGACACAGCGGTACAGGCACTGCGCTCATTCTAAAACTGGACTTTGGGCCCCTGCTGTTCATTTTGTATCATAAACATATACAATGGCAAGTTTTAAAATATAAAAGCCCTGATTTTTCTTAAAAAGTAAAGGAAAATAAGTCAAAACAGCTTCCACTACAGAAATGCAACAGAAACTCTAATTTCCGGCATAGACTATTACGCTTGATTGTTGTTGTACCTTGCCAGTCATGAAAAGTAAAGTTTATAAAAGGAAATTCCCCTTAATGGCATTGATGGAACAAACATCATGGTAGGTTGTAGCCTAGACACAGTGGCCTTTCTCAGTACTAGGCTACATAGGACTTTAAGGGTCTTTATAAATTTATATCCTATTGATACATGGATACTTAAAGATTCATACATATGCATTGTTAGATTTGGGAGAAACTTGGAAATTGGCTGATCCACACTGCTTTACTCACCAGCACCTTGAGCTCCTCAAAGGGACAGAACTTTGTCAGACATGGAGATGACAGGGAGTGTTGGGGGAGAAAGGAAGTGTTCCTGTTAATTCAGCACCCACTACTTGAACAAGGATGGTCTTCCTGCTTATAGCGTATATTGAAATGAGGGGACTTGTGTATGAGACCTCTCTGGATCATGTGGAACAGCAGGGTCTACTGCTTTGTACTTGTCTTAGTGGGCAAAGACAGGGCACGTGGTAAGAAATAGTGGGCGGAAGAGGGAAGAACGTGTGAAAGGTACGAAGCTAGAGTTTGGTGCAATGGTGTAGCTCGCTAAACCTCTACCTGTGGCACAAGCATTCCATATGGGTACCAGTTCTAGACCCAATTGCTCTATTTCCCGTCCAGCTCCTTGGTAACGGCCTGGGCAAACAGTCGAGGGTGGCCCAAGGCCTTGGCCCCTGAACCCACATGGAAGACCCAGAAGAAGCACCTGGCTCCCAGCTTCAGACTGGCTCAGCTCTGGCCATTTAGGGAGTGAACTGGCAGATGTCTCTCTCTCTCTCTCTCTGTAGCTCTACTTTTCAGGTAAAATAAATAAATCTATTAAAAAAAATTTTTTCAAAGGAGGCAGGAATCAGTGGCGATGTCACTTTGAGCCCAAGAATCCGTTGTAGAGAAGTGGAGAAGTCACCAGATCGCAATGGTTTTGAAGACAGAGCCTGCTCAAAAATACTTTTTTTTCTCCCCAAAATGAAAAGAATGTCACCCCTTTACTTAGCATAAGTTTGCTCTATATGCTGCACAAGTTTGCAATGATTCTTAGGGAAAATTTTGATTATTCTTACAAGTATTCCAGTAGAAATCTGTATTTTAGGCCTTATGCAAATAAGGGTCCTAAAACTGAGGCTTGGGAACTGGAACTGCTGAGCAGCATCCAGCAGCATGTGACCGATCGTAATCCCTGTTGGCTGTGGCGTTCTCTGCCCACTGGTATGTCACTCATCTCTCGCTCCTCTAAGGGGCGGATTGCCCAAGTCATCCAGTGTGGTGACTGTTAGTCATGTGTGGCTTGTGGTCCCCTAACATGCGGTGTGCCCAAACTGAAATGTGTGCTGGAAATACCAGAATTCAAAGATTTAGCATTCAAAAAAAAATGGAAAATACTTGATTAGTAATTTTTATAATAATTACAGGTTGAAATGATGGCATAGTAGATACAATGAGTTAAATAAAATATACTATTAAGATGAATTCTACTTTCTTTTTACTTTTTTGAATGTGGCTATTGGGAAATAAAAATTACATGATTCCCTTTATATTTCTGTTGAACAGTGTACTAGGGATTTCCTTACACCAAATCCCACCTGTGCTCATTTGTAATTCTATTATTGTCAAGTTAACTTTAGAAATGATGTCTGCCCTGTGGAACTTGGCCAGTCTCCTAGCTTAACATTCAGGCATGTATTCCAGCACTCGGCAGCAAAGCTTCACCCAGGCACCTTGTCCCATATTTCCAAGTGCAGAACTGACTTGTACAATTGCACAGAATTAGTAAACTTGCCACCT